GGCATTCCTTTGAGAGCACCAGTTCTTTTCTTATACTGATTCTGCAGAGCTTGATTTATAATAAAACTGAGGACTAAATTCAAAAGAAAAACTTCACTGAATATGGTCAGTTGATGTCAAACTGCTGGAGGACTACAGGAAAAGAAAATGTCTTCAGGCTTTAGGAACATGAGGAGATACTGAACCAGCTTGACTGTACCTCAGTTCTAGCAGAATGCCATGGCTTCAGATGCATTCAGTACTGCCTGGCCTATGTCCATTTACTAACATTTCCATTTACTATTTCCGTGTTTCCATTTACTGGCAAAACCACCATAACCTTAAAGGCATAGAATAGGCCCAGGGCTAGTGCTTTTGGATATCCAGCTTGTACCAAACATTCAAATCATCTGATCAGTATTATCTACCTTTTATTACCTTGTGGTACTCTGAATGGTGGCATTAAAAAAAAGAGGTAATACACAAACACTTATTTCCAGACTTTCATTCTGCAGAAAAATGCATTTTTTTCCCCAAGTTACAAAAGTTCCCGAACTCGCAGCATAACAGTGTTAAGGAAACTTTGAACAATGAGCACTGAAAGCACATGCAAGGGATTACTCAGGAAAAAAGAACACCTCTCACCCATTGTGCTCTTCCTCTTGTCTTCCCTCTCTTCTGTCCTGTTTGGCATGGCAGGAGTGGGCGGAGCAGATGCAGCTGGTGGAAGAGGGGCACGCCTCTTCTTTTTCTGCAAATCGTTTAGGGATGTTCCTTGTGAAATCTAGCAAAGTTGAAAAATAGGTACAGTAAACGATATGTCTTGTCAATGTTGTAAATTGTCAGTAACAAAAAAAAAAGTGATTGTCATATGACCTAATTTCTCAGCACAGAATATTTTTAATGAGTATTTATAGTGACAACAGGAGACGCAAAAGACAGATCAGAAGAGGTATAATAATATTGCTCTCAGAGAAGGAAAGGGACAAGAACTGCAGATGAAGGCCACAGCAGAAACACCAGCCTGGTAGAAATTTGGTGGTTTTGGTCAAGGGGAACCAGAGAGCCCAACACTCAGCAATGCACAGTATGACACTACGCGTGTTGTTAAGCTTGAGCCATAGCATGATCTTGTTTTTCCATTGGTTTCTGCAGAGCTTAAAGAATAAACTCTCTCTCTTTTCTTTGATTTTCCTCTCAAATTCTTGTTTAAGGACTTTGGAGGGAAGAATCAGAATTGAAAGTTTGCTTGCATGATGATATGAGATCATACTGTACGCTATTTATGTCTATTGGACTTCACAGACATACTTTTGAAGATCTGCAACACCTCGGCTTCCAATAATTGCAACATGCTGGTTGGCAAGCCGAGACTTCATTACTGTTTACACTGCTTTTAAAAATATGAAAAATTTTATTACAAGTGACTGGGTTTCACTGGGTTGCATAATATTTTCTGTAGCTTGTTGGAACTTAGTTCTATTTCCTTTTTCCGGAAAAATTAAAATAATAAAAACAAAAACATGTAGGAAAATCTGTTGAATTTTTGTATTTGAAAGGTACTGGCAACACTTGACAGAACTAGGCTTAGCTGAGGCAGAGGGTAAGGGGAGCTGCCCACACATGGCGTGCTGTTGGCAGTCCTCAGTCTTCACATGCATCACTTCATTGCTCTGTCCATCCTGATACTCCCCATAGCTGAAGATATCTAATATACAGAACTGCCCGGCGGTTTTCTAATATTTCAAAGGCCTCAACAATAATAATAATCTTTCCTTTAATCCAGAGAATTAATGAACCCTTAAAATACATTTGTTGTGGGAGATCTCATTAAACAAATAGTAGCTTCACTCTGCTCAAAGCTATTATCAGAGTTCAGAGGAAAGGCACTCATTTAGATGCACTGTCTGACTCTCAGAATAAATAACAAAACTCTGAGAATAAATGAATTTTGCAAGGAGTAGGACATGAACAGAGCCTCCTTCACTTAGCCCTCCTTTTAAAAGCACTCAGGAGGGTCTTAGGTTATAAACTACAAACATTTAGTTCCCACCTTTCAGGAGAACACTTTAGCCACTGTGCCACATGACATTTGGACACGCTCTACCCCTTCTTGGTGAACCTGCGTCCTGCATATGGAGAAATTTGCTAGTAACTGCACTGGACATAGAGCATGCTAACAAGGATGAGCTGCAGCTTTGTGGCAAACTGTTTCTATAAGATGGAGGGGACAGAGGGTGAGAAATAAAGGTGTCTTGGTCTTGTTTCCTACTGCCATGGATTATTTCCGCATTTTACATTAAATGTCCACTAGATACACTGCATGACTAAAGCCAGTGAAGCCAATCTAGATAAAGTTAGGCATAGTAAACAGGCGAGAATGTTAATAGTAAGTAGTGATTTTGCAGACTTCGATTTTGGAGACGAAACGTCACAGCATTTGAAAGATTAGACTTATACCCAGAAAAAAGCACCAGGCCAAACATTCAAGAATGGATAGAGAAGAATTTTAGAGCTCATTTGAAAAACTTTTGCCCAAAGTTACAGTGTTACCCCATATTAAGATGGAACACCTCTGCTGATGAAGAAAATGCCTGTCCGTGGTTAGGAACCGACTGAAGTTGAATCCCACCCCCCTTCCTCCACTCCAATTCTTATAGAACCAGAATGCCCAATATTGAGCGGAATGTGGGAAATGCTGTTTAGTGAAACAAACTCCACAGGCTTTGGTTTACAGAGGAAGAATTACATGGAGGACAGCTCCCTAATGCTGCGTTCTTCTCCATGTCTATCTATTTGGGGCAATTGGCAAATAGGCATCTGGAAAAAAAATCACATTCTTCTGCACTGCATTTTAAATAACTAAAGACACGGAAGCATTTAATACTGTACCTTGATTCTTCAGGAAACTACCTTACAAAAAAAGAGAAAATTATCAAAGTGGGGACTTGGATTAACCTGACTAGAAAATCTCCAAAATTCAGTAGCTATGGAGAACTTGAATGATCTGGGAGACAGGCAGCATCAGAACTTCCCCAACACTTTACAAGCACAAGCCATGACTTTTGCAGTTATTTAATGTCATTTTGCAGCTTCCACATTTGCTCCTGTTTCTCCAAACAGAAAGGTCATTTTACCCGAAGACAAAAAATGGATGGGCTGGTGATTTAAAAGGTAAGTCTAGGAAATCTTGAGAATCAAGACAGAAAGTAAGGAAACGTGTGTTTCCACTTGAAATGACAGTGATCACTAACCATCCTTCCCCAGGTACCAGATGACTGAAGGATGTTAGTTTGGTATAGTCAAATTCCTCAAAGATACATTACTGCTTTACTAAGAAGAAAGGATCCTTTACTAAGAAGACAGAAGCCAGCTAATCTTTTTCAGCTCTATGCATACTTATTTAGTTGAATCCTCTGAGGACAGATGTATGGATGAACATGCTGCTACAGCTAAAGAAAAGGCTAGAAAATAGCTAGTGCACAACTGCAATAATGCAAGTTTGGTCAAATACACACATAAAAATGCTTTTATTATACTGTCAGCTAAGCACAGTATTCTTCACAAACACCATAAAGAAGATGAAAAGCTTGTTTAAAGCCAGCCACACTACAATGTATATAAGAAGTGTCTAGTTCAAGAACAAGTCATAAAAATTGTTAAAAATAGTTCTTTAATGCCAACCTCAGTAAACATAGCTATGAGGCTAAACATAAATGGAAAAAACACAAAGAACATTCAGTTTCTTTCTTACAGTTGTATATACCAAAACAATAGAACTTGAAAATAATTAGTTATGGCTGGCTGCTTCTTTTATAAAGAAATCAAGCCGTAACAACATTATATGAAGTAATTTCCCATCCAAACTTTGTTACAGGAGCCCCTCTCTCACAGAGTATTTCCTAGGCCTAGCACTTGCGCTTCACCTATGTTGCATTTTTAACTAGAAGAAATTATTAGGTCAGCTTCTGTTATGCAACGAATACATAATTTTTAAAGATGTTAGTAGGAGTTCTTTGTCTCTAATTAATACCATCAACTGAGTTAGAGATGAATAAGGTGGACTAAAAGGACCGAAGTCTGACAAATAGCGTCACTTCTGTGCCCATATTGATGAGACCACATACGATGCAAAAAAAAATTTTCCATTAAACTCATGTCATGGCTCACATGCTGTTTGAAAAATACTTCCAACATTGCAGACAAAATATCTGAGGAATGTGCTGAATGTGTTTTCCTTCCGTGAGAGCTCAAAACCTTTATTAAATTTGAGGGCATTAGATAAGATTTTAGAATATATTTAGAGCATAACGACAACACCATGGGGAGGTTATGCGTTAAAATTGTGTGGAAAAGAATCCTACAAGGCTAATGCTTGAAATTTTCCGTCAGTAGCATCTGACAGTCATCTTACTTGCAAAAGGTCTATGGATACTGTAAGAGCGGACGTGTAAACTGAGTTTGAGTTTCCTCATGCCTAAGAGTCCAGTATTTTCTTTGGGTTAGGTTGCACTGAATATGAATTCATGAAAAATATTAATGGAGGCCTAATGAAACAAAAGCCACCACCACCAAAAATTCATCAAGCATTCACAGACAAGGAGGTTCTCAGACAAATTTCCAATGTGAGCTCTGCTCCTTTGCCTTGCCTGTCCTCAGCTTACAGGTCAGACACTGGTTTTGTATTTATCAACCCTTCCCTCTTAAGCTTTCTAACAGAAATATGTATCTATGAAAGTATTTATTAAGTCATCTGGCAAATGCCACCCTTCTTTTATTCACAGACCAAACTTGGTCTAAATTTACTGCAGGCTTACTGCTCCCAAAACTTAGCCTCCTGTAAGCCAGAAATTGTATCATTAATTTGTGCTTCTCTGTCCCTCCAGTGTCTACCGACATTTGCAACCCACCTGATGACACTGACTACGTATCTCAGTCATCGGAATCACTGCTTTGACCAAGAAGGAAATCTCACTCTGCTGTCTCTAAAACCAGATTAAAGGCTCTGCCACAGCATACTCTGAGAGCCACACGTACCCATGTCTGTTCTGTTAAGGAACAGAACATCTACGCTCTTGCCGTAGATGGTAGAGAAGAAGGGACAGGGCTTACTGCAACCTTAGAAAGTGCACATAGTGCATCCTTGTTAAAAACCAAAGTACTGTAATGTTGCAATTACTGCAGTTATATCTTGACTAACAAAGAACCTGGCAACTACCAAGGTGTTCCAAAATGGTGATATGGCCAGGTAAAACTAGAAGCCCAGCTGGATTTTGCAGGCTTGAGTGAAAAATATTGCATAACTTCTAGACTGTATGCTGAAAGGCCACTTTGGTGCCTTCTGGGAACTACTGCCTTTCAAGCAACACATTCTGCCTCATTTATTGAACAGCTGAGGGGACCCTGATGGGAACTACTGCCTTTCAAGCAACACATTCTGCCCATTTATTGAACAGCTGAGGGGGCTCTTCAAGGACTACTGTGTCAGGACACAGAGACCAGGAGAAAGAGTCATGTTTTCTTCCTTCTCCCAAGATTGATGCCTGGGGAGAAGAGTGGATATATGAGAGACAATGTACTTTCTGCAGGACTGAGAAAGAGCTTGGAAAAAAGCTGAGTGATCTCAGCTCAGAAGCACAACTAAGAACACAAGTAGGGAAGAACAACTTAAAAATTGCCAAGGACTTGCACACTAAAAGCGAACAGCACCTTCTTGAGTTACCTGGAACAGGTGTTCTCTGAACAATTGCAGGTATCTGTGTTGTACTTGGCATCCACACCTAA